CCCCCCTCTCTGCGGCCCTGGCCATCTTTCAACATTCGATATGAAGAAAGGTAACAGCGCGATCGGTAGAGGTTCATGAACTTCCTGATGATTGAAAAGTACAGCTCTGAAGCATAGTGTACGAAAAAAACCCGATGCTTTAAAAGAAATGGCTAAATCTGTCACTGAATTAGCACCACAGGAAACACCAGATTAGACGCACGTGCACGTGATTTTTCAGTTAGCCCCAAATCAGTCGTAGCCTATGTATAAAAATGAGAAGAAATGTATGTGCGATCAACCAGTGATTGCAGACATATAACAGGAAAAATTTACACCGTCGAAGTACCCAAAGACAATGGCTTGGATAATGGATAAATGCAATGATATCGTTTTCATTCCTTTCCCTGCAAGGAGTGAGAAGAAGAATAAAGAAACAATGTATTGCGAAAGAAACAGACAAGTTAATTTATTTAACTGACGGGGAAATTGCAAGAACACGTACAGTAGCATACAAAACAAGTGAAACTCCAAAAATCGATAACATTTTTATTTATCTACGTTTCGACTATATTTCAGTCATCATCAGGATAAACTAGCAAGGTTATATATCAAAAGCAGTATTTATATGAAGAAATATGATACAATTATTAGGTTGATTATTAATGAATTAATTAAATATGATTAGTTCTTTAGAATTAGCTTTAAGTCCATGATTAAGTTCAGGTTTATATCTTTGAGTAGCCAGGGATTCTTGATACAGCAAAAGGGACCAATGGTTAGATTTATCAATTACTTTAGTGTTGTGGAAAACATGTTCAGTCATACTGGTTTGATCAGACTTTGCGTCATCGTCGGGATATAGTTCTAAAAGGGCTTTAATATGTTGAAACTGTTCGCAAGTAGAGAGGTGTTGATGGATTACAGATTCTGTGTGATATGAATGTTCCTTAGTTCTGGTGTATAAGCAGCGATCAGTTTTGCCGATGTACCTACTATTACATCCAGGGCAAGTAAATTCATAGACGACAGAGCTTAGTGATAAGTTTTCGGGATTTTTTTGACGTACAGTAGCTGTTTAGTTTCAACAAAATGACAAATTTAAACACTATAATATAGATAAAAAATGTTTTAAATAAAGATTTTTAAGGCGGCTCCATACAATTTCTTGAAAAGTGGAAAAGACACATTTCCGACCAAAAAATATTGTACATTGATATTTTTATAGAAGAATGAAACCAGATCTCTTGTATAGAACAGTATTTTGGGAATTAGAAACTGTAGCAGAAATGTCCGTAACTGTGGTTACTATGGCAACAATAACGTTTCAAAACGTCGGTGACCCCCTACTTTTATTTTATTAAAAGTTTTTTTCTAGTATGAGCAATCATTAGGACAATTTTTAAAAAATTCTGTAGATCCAAAAAATTTTTGTCAGGAATAAACATGTTTTTCGATTTGAAAAATTTTGGATCTACAAAATTTTTTAAAGCTAGATTACAGTCCATTCTGCGCATGTGCGGGCTTTGTTTACATTTTTTGTTTTGGTTTGGATCCACTTCAATTGTATAATATGAAGTATAGCGGCTATGCACTATATAAATGGAGTCCGAGTCAGGAGTGGAGTTGTTAATTTTTTTAAAATTGTCTTCTGAAAGACAAGCAATTAAATATTTTGAAAGATCATGAATGGAAGATATATTGTTGATCAATTCGGCATTTGTTTTTTGTGTGCCTCGTTGATGAAACATTCAGAAGAGACCGACAAAGCCGACCCAAAGGTGCGAGTCATTGTGTTGATTATATTAATGTTCGGCATTGTAAAATAAACTTTGGAAGTGTCAAAGTAATCACTAATTTTTCCTTGGGGTATTTGTTCGTCAAAACACATTGCCAAAGTCATTGTTGCTGTCATGGCAGAAGCACTCGGAGAAAGCTTTATTTCGCTGGAAGAATTGGAAACGATATGTTCATGTCGCGGCTTGCTCCAGCGGGGCCTCCAGCTTCTGTCTTCGATGGAGTATGGGTATTTTTTGCTCAAGCGCGTGCCGCGAAGAGGATTTTGATACATGTATGAACAATCGAAGGACAGATGGTGAGTTTGTATTATTGCTATTAGTTATGTACTGTTCGTTAGAAACGTGCTTCACATGTAATCTTATTGTATTTGTTCATTAGTTTATAACTTTATATATGTTTTGTTAGTTTATACGCAAAAAAATGTGACCTGAGCAATGGTTCATTTGAGAATATATAATGTTGTTCACCGCGATAGTTCACTCAAAGGATAATGATTATGTAACAATAGCTGGGTAAACTTTGTTTACATATTTTGATACTTTGCCTGCCAAAAATATACACAGACTTATATTTCTGAAAGCTTTAACCACTGGCTTTAACACACATGATTTGTTTTATTAAATACCCCACATAATTATGCATATCCTTGCTGGGTAAAATATCAAATTATGTAAAAAGGCTTACCTGTCTATATACAAGTGTACATAGCTGTGAAAATGCAGTAATTTGGTGGTAAGAAATATCTGTGTTTCACTGTGCTTGAGTCTTTGCATTTAATTAATGATAAATATATTCATTTCAGAATCTTGTGGAAGCAATGGATTTAAATGCCCTTTGAAGAGCATTTGCGTTAGAGCTTATACAGCATCAGCCAGCTGCATTTGTCAATTTGGCAAATTGCCAGGTGAACCGCTTCAACCAGACCCAGCTACGAAAAAACAGAAAATGCCTCAGAGTATTACAAATGTGGATGCTGTGTTGCAATGCCAACAAAATGGGTAAACAAATGCTGTACACAATCAAGACAGCCTTGCATAACCGCCTAGCCCTCTCTTCCCACAGTGGCACAGTTAGTACTTGATGGAAATGTTCGATCTGGACATGGCCATGCATTAGAGGGATCATTGAGGGAAACTTTATTATTCATTAATCCATTTTACTGTAATTATCTCCCCATGACAGGGAGGATCATTTTAAATATTTTGAAAGAACTTGGGTAATTCACACCTGTTAAGGCCCGTTCACACAAGCGATTTTAAACTTTGATTTTCTTCTTTTGGCATTTGTGTTTTAGCAAAATTACAGGAAACATTACTTTGCATGGCTTGATTATTTACTCTAACACATACACCAAAAGAAGAAAATTGCAGTTCAAAATTGCTTCAAACTTATTATAAGCTTTCTCTGTCTACTAACCACAGCAAATTTTGCTAACAAATGAAAGCCTTTATCATGTTAATGGTTAAATGTTTATGAACAGTAATATTTCATTATAGAAAAGACCAGTTATCAAATACATTGGATGTTCAAGCACAACATTTTGTATATTGACATTGATTTTTTTATTCTTTAAAATTACTCCTTGCCCCTTACTTCAGTCCTGAAAAGTGTATTGCTGTGCACCGAAGATCAATGAATCCAATATGGACACCCTGGCTCAGTATTGGGGTCCAGGGGTTTGTAATCAGATTTCCTTCTCCTAGGTGGATTGCCTTTCAGGGATTATGAGCTCCACCAAACAGAGCACTTGTCTACAGTGATCAGTTGAATTTATACTGATGGGTTTCAACAAGTTCTTTGACTGAAGGAGGAGGGACAGGGGTCATGTTAGGAGCGATTTGCCTTCGGTAATCACTTGCAACACCATTCCACATATCTAAAGAAGACTTATAATTAGTTTTATTCCTGTTTAAATGCTGCTGACCAATGTGTTTTAAAAACACTCAAATGGCTTTTTTCAAGCCACATTTTGATTTTGTTAATAATGTTCATGCAAATCAAAATTTGGCTTTCCAAAAAGCCTTTTAAGTGCTCTTAAAACACGTCAATCAACATGCCTACAGAACGATCAAAATATTTGTTTGAAAATGTGATATGAAGAATATGGAATTTCATAATGAAAAGTGAAAACTAAAAGTCACTTTTTTTCTCACTAGGATTCAGGAAAGCATAACATGTCATACATACCTTCATTATAAGTTGTAGGATGTATTCGTACTGCCTAGGAGAATCTTTAAGAATCTTTATATGGCTCCATTGCTGTTTCTTCCCCTTGCTGAACATATACTGGCAATGGCTCATGTCTGCATTGTATTGTTTCATCTGGCTACTGATCCGTCTGGGTTTCCACAGCGCTATAAGTGAACAAAAAAATTTTGTAATGAGAAAATATAACAACATTAACATAACTGAAATATCCAGGGATATGTGTTATGTGCTTACCACAATTAAATCCGTCTTGATGTTTCGTATACAGGCTCGATCAGCATAGTATTCGCGAACCCTCGTCACTTTTAATTCCAGCTTCAGTTTTGAAATGATTTCACCGACCAATAGTATCATTAAAGTACATTTTCGTTGCATACCTTTTCGCGAAATGTTCTTTTCGATTTCCTGGTTGGTTTTGGCGACCAGCATTAGAAGAATTTGCCTTTGAAGTGGACGGCTCTATTATATAACTCTTACGAGTCGACCATTTTGAGCGCGCATATCCGAATAAGGACTGGAGAGCACACAAAATCAAAACAAGTGTGCTCACATTTGTTTACATTTTTGACACATGCGCAGAAGCGACTGTAATCTAGCTTTAAAGATTGTCCTAATGATTGCTCATACAAAAAAACTTTTAAAAAAAATTGAGGGTCACGTTGTTTTTAATTAAACTTGTTGAAATGGGTCATTCCAGAAAAGGTCCATACCCCCCCCCCTACGGAGGAAATCGAAAATAACCCCCTCCCCCCCTTCGGACATCCTTGAATGGTTCATCCTCCCCCCCCTCTCCGGACATCCAAGCCCAAAATTACCCCCCTCCCCTTCGGACATCCACTATTTCTAAATTTTTCTAAATAGGCCGTATTCTGAAGTCGATTATCGTTCAAAAAATATAAACTTTACGGGGTCTACTTAAAAACAACTTAAATCTATAGATTTTTACCTACTGAATACAAATATGCTTGTTGGCACCTCTGAAATCCTGCTGTTTTTTAGTAAAAACCCTCGAAAGTTCGAAATTTTTTACTCGTGTTTTGATGTCCGCCATCTTGGATTTTATTGTATGCGCACGCGCAGTTGCTATGTTAGAGGGGGTATCCGCTGACAATCCCGGCTCATAAGTACTTACAGGCCTTGTAAAATGCCGGTCCCTTTACTGTTTTAAAAATACTAAGGCGTTTTAAAGAAATAGGAATGTTTTCATAAATCTTTTTAACCTTTTCGTTCGGAAAATTTCGAAGATATCGAACTTTGATGGCCAGCAAAATCATTTAGTGCGCTTGACTGATACGTTTACCGCATCATGTTTAGGGTTTAATAGCGCATTGTGGTTAAGATTTGTGTATTTAGTAGGAAAGTGCCTTAGAGTAAGGTTAACGCATTGAGGTTAGGATTCGAGTATTTGGGTAGCACATTATTACATTTTTCATTATGCACGATAGACGCAATGAACATTAAAATATACTTTTTGGTGAATTTGTTACATGCAAGTCGCGTTCTTTCATCGACTGGTTAATAAAAATCGCCCGTTGTATTTTTATAAGTGATATGGAGTTCAATTTAACTGCACATTCTACATTTGTTCGTGTCGTGTGTATTTTAAATAATTCTTTTTTTCAAATTCCGAAAACTAACTTGTTTTCATACCTTCATTCTGATAAATCATCAAACATATTGTCATCATCGTCCCAGTCATAATCATTTTCATCGTCATTATCAGAAGAATCAGATTCATCTTCTCCATCCATTATTTGTGGATTGTTTTGGCACTCTGAGCAGGAACACACTTCAGTACACTTCAATCCAGATTTCAAGCAAGAGCATCTTTGGGTCTTACATCCGGTTTTACATTTGCACTGCACAAATTCTAGAAGGGACTCCGGAGCTGATGGACAGGTCATCCACAATATATGTAATTGCCCATCTGATTCCAATTGCCACCCATTACCCACAGCAGATGGAAGCTGTAACATTGGAGATAAACAACGATTCCACGAAGCAGCTTGGAAGTTGGATCTAGCAATATGATGAAACAGACAGTCACTATTTGGTGGTAGCGCATCATCAGAACACTTTCCTGCTTTAAAAAGATTATATCTGCACTCGTCAACACTTCGTGAGCAGTCATCGCCATACAGTAAACATATAAACTAGTTCAGGAGGTCTACCAGGTCATCATGGATGGGCAGATTGCCAAGCCTGGAGAATATTGCACAGAATTCTGGATGTTGCATGAGGACCTTCCACGGTTTTAACTTCCCTTTACCAAGAAACGCACTTGTTGTATCACATCCTACAAAGAAAAAAATAAATAAATATTTTTTAAAGTTATCTTAAAATATTCAAATCAATAAAGAAAAATACCTGAGAAGGCGTGGAATCCTGGCAGGGATGCGCACAATTCCTCTCCAAGTGAGTCTGAGACGGCAGCAACATCTATAACACGGAATTTGTTCCCATTTCCAGTCATCAGATACAGTTTCGTGCCAATTGTTTTCTGCATGGCTGTACACAGTAAAAACACATCTGTATCGGGTGATTTGATTATTATCTCAGCATGTGCTTCGGCTGCATGTCTTGAGTGAAGCAGTAATCGCGTATCGGCTTCCTCGTGATCACATCTTAGCTCTGCAACTTCTATCCTTTGAACTGTATCGCTTGGGGATAAGCCATGGGAAAGTAAATAACACTTATCTGCTGAGGTGACGTAGAACGACTCTAAACTCTTCATTTGGGCCGAGTGGTACGTACTCCAATGACCACACAAAAACACAGCCAATGACTCCTTGTTGTCTCCACAGCTCAAGTATTTTTTCCACTGTTTTGGGATATTCTGGTCTTTATTGTAGATGTGAACTCTCTGTACACCTTGAGCTGCTCTTTTTGCTCTTTCTGCGTTCTTGATACTTAATGAGGGGTACCTGTTTGCAACAAAATCGAGTCGTACAGCCTTCCATTGCTTTACAAGATTCAACAGATAGGAAAACACTGAATCAGCAAATTCTCCAAATGTTCTCCACTTTCCCTTCATGGCCTGTACTACGGCCATACCATATACGATTAATGCAGTTCCATTTTGAAGGTTCTCTACATCTACTACTGGGCTACTTGCGGTCTTCTCCAATACTTCGAACATCTTCGACTTAGTGGTTTTCACAAGATCTCCGGAAACAGTGGCAATGGATAGTGGGAATTCACTTAAGCTAAAGGAAAGAAGTCCCTTCAAGTCGATTTCGCGTGTTTTGGAGATAACCAACAGTCGCGCAAAGAGATTTCTGGTTGATTTGACAGCTATTGTTTGGCCCTTCTTGTCTGTCATTGTTTTGGTCTTGCTTGAAAATGTCCTTATTTTGTTTCTCTTGATCGGGGTAAATATATCAGGTTTCTTGCTTAAAAGGTTGTCTTCGCAAAATGCAGTGAATTGACCCTCACCCAACTTTTCTGCGTCAAGAAGACTTTTAGCTGAATCCTTTGGTAGTTCAACGCCACTTGTTATATTGACGAGCCCATCTTGATCGGAGTTAAATGGATTGATCATGCTTGTAATTGTTGCTAGGACACCGCACACAGAATTTTCATAATTCTGGCATTTTGTTGCATCCAGATCTTTTTTGTTTCTAAAGAAATACAATTATTATTGTCATTGACATTTCTGATCAAATATTTGCATAGTTGGTGTGAAAGATTTCTATTAAATTTCAGCTTTCGGTCACAAACTTAATTGAATACAAACTTACCGTGGTTTGCAGTTAATTCCAGCCATATATTTGCACTGGCCTGTGATCCTAGCCCTTTCAGATTGCGAGAGGAGCCATCTATGCACTGATGCGCGATTCATTGTAAAGCCTATCAAACCACCCTTGGTTTTAGAATCTCTGTTAGCTGTCTGTTCGATCGTTTGGTCGCACGCAACGGCTGCAAACCCATAATTGTTCTGGCGTTGTACCGCGAAGTTTGCGGAAACTTCTGGAAGAGCTCCTATAAATTACAAAGAAGTAAACTTTTATAATATAAACATATCCTACATTAAATATACTGTATGTAAAAGAATGGCTGTCCAATTTCAAGCAAGCGTTTTAATAGGCTACAATGTAATAAGACTACAAAAACACACATGTACCTGGATGGGATTTCTCTAATGAAATCATCTCTAGCCAATACGCTGAGCCATATCTTGCGTAATTAACTTTATCGCACGCAAAAAACCAAGGGATCATTGATCGAAATGATGACAAATGAAGGTTCCAATCCACTTCTCTGGTTGCTCGGATGAATAACAGAAGTATGCCTAGAAAAATAAAAAAAGAATTAGCCTTTGAAATACCTTTTTTTATTTCAGATACATTTGTAATACTGTAAGCCAATTAATTACCAGTCATTTGAATGTACATGCTCCAGTAGGCAAAGGTAAGTGATCTAGCTGATGACTCGACAATAAAGGCTTCGTAACGCTCACATAGCTGTTCCATTTGTTCACTATTGATATATTCGCGTAGTTGATCCTCTTCAAACGCTTTTTTCATGGTTTCAACAAACGATGAGATGTCTTCTTGGCTTTCGTCGTCTAGCGTGTCTAGAAATTCTTCAAATCGTAGTCTTTGCAGAGCTTCGTACATAGTCTTGTGACAAAGCAGGGAGCGGTTATAGTGTTTGCCTGACATAACACCCTTTATGGAGCCCTCACTCACTATTCCAGACTCGATAAAAACATCCTGTAAAATAAATTAAAAACCATTTAGTGATTGTTTATATACAATGAATTTTATTATATGATCTTTTGAATTTCCTGCACAGGAAAATATATCTCGAAGAGATATTTCAAGATAATTGCGCAGCAGAATGCTTTTAAGTATTTTAAAATCCTTGAAATAAATGACAAAAATGAGTTTTAACTTGCCTTTAGCCCTCCATCTTCAAAGATCTTAGATATTGCTGACAGGAATGACATTATTGCATGGAATTCTCCAAGACGTACTATGAAACGGTCGTAGTAGGTGTCATTTTTCCATCGTACATGCTGGATTTTGGCGTAGACAGCCTCGTCAAATACCAGAGTCGCGTACTGAAGCTGCAGCTGGTCTGCTATCTTGGTGCTTCTTTTAAGGATCGTATTAATGGTGGAATACTCTGTCGGAGACGCGTCGATGACAGGGAGATAGCCAACTCTTGAGATACTTGGGATGTTATCTTTGCGCAGGAGGGTATTAAAACCTGTCCATCCAGGAAGTACAGGCAAGTCATCTGAAGGCACCATTTTCAGCAGTACATACGTCAGATCGAGAAGTTGCGCGGCCTCTGATGCAGCTGTTTGAACCATGACATTACCAGTAACCTGTTCTATTTCAATATTAAATCTTGGTGTCTTCTTATTCCCAATGCTGAATGGTATTATATTTTGTTCCGG